ATTTTCCTCATTAATGTTAATTAAAATATATAGTCATGAAACATTTTTCCACATATTACGTATTCAATCAAAAGTATTTTTTACTGCAATACGGCAAAGCCACACAAAGGGTAATTTGTTGGGCTTTTCCACTTTTTTTTCCAAAAGTTTTTTTAATTGGCTCAAATTATTTCGTGAGATCTCATGAAAGTTTTGAAACGATTTGGAATCAATGAATGTACCGCCTTTTTGAGCGCATGGCTTGACCGATTTTTAATTTCAGGTGGCTCAAACTATTCGGTGAGATCTAATAAGAATTTCGGAACGATTTGGACACAAGAAATAGACAAATTATTGTATAAAATGTATGTAAGGAATGTAACGACTTATGGTGCGTACCGTCCTTACATTTTATTACAATACATGTAGCTTTTACGTTTGTATTTGGTCAATTATAGCGTAGGTGTTAATTATGATTCATCAACATGATATTCTAATATTAATCCCTTCGATATCTAACTCCGAGATCATGTTGGATTAATTTTACTATTCATCTCCAGCAACAAACATGTTACATTTTTCGGCTGGTGTTCCCAACCGAATTATTTCTCATTCCATTTTGGCGATTCTCCCTTGAATTTACGACTATATATATTTTTTAATTTAAGCAACCATAGATAAAATGTCAAGTATTTTCGAATACCTCAAGACATTGTTCTTACCCAGAATTGAAGGATCTTACCTCTCGGCATTGAACTCGTAAATATTTCAGTGGTCTTATAAGATTAATTTTACATTTATGATAAACGGATATAAAATTAATGTTATATAAATCATTTTATATTAAGCTTTTGATTGTTACATAATGGAGGATTTATAAACGCGATGGATCTCTGCCTGCGGAATGAATGAAACATAGGAATCGAGTTTGGATTCGTAAGATAATATTAAACTGAGTTGGTAATATTTTCACTAATATGAAGATAAATGTAATGATTTCTGACAGGTGTATATTAACCTACGGGGAGATACCCAAACATGGCTGAGTCAATCAAACCAAAAGATGCTACCCGCATACATAACGTATCATTAGTATTAAAAATCTAGGTTGGTATTGTTTAATAATAACGTCGGGGTATTCCATGACATGATTATTGAATGGCCTCATTCAGCGATTGATTGATTGAGATTATACATTTATAATCTTGAAAATTTTTTTCCCTGTAATAATAAACTTAGGTTCTTCACATTCTATCTACACTTTTTATAAATGTTTATAGATTTCCGCTGAGAGTTCAGGGAAAGTAATTTTTAATAGACTTATGTAAAAATAAATTGAAAGCATAACTGTTCTTGGTTCATTGAATACAATTGAATAAGAAAAAGAAACAAATAATAAAAATCCACCAAATCGGATTTTTTTATTTCCATAACTATATCCTGAACTATAAAAAGTAAATATTTCTGGCATAATCCATCCAAAACAGTTCACGAATTTAGGTGATTGTTAAGCGACTCTTGTAATTAAATGACAAATAATAACAGAAAACGTCTTGAAATAAAACGTCTGGAGAATATATTTCTTTTCTAAAACACTGACAACTTCTTAAAATATTTGAAGCGGTTTTGTAGAAAAAGCACTTTAACGACGGAAAAGCGGTACTGGCGTTGGTGCCTACTGGCCTCTGCCACATCATTCAGTACTCATAAATGGCATAGTTATAGTGCTATAATAACGTTTATGGTATATTATATTGATTTTATTAACGAAAAAATATTAATGCAATAATGTAATTGTCCAAACAAATCAAACAATTCCATTTTAATATTACTTCCTTTATTCTATAGGGAGGTCGTTTAAGAAGGCCTGCACTGTAAAAATGATATTACAATAATAAAAAGAAGATAATATTAAACTGAGTTGGTAATATTTTCACTAAAATGAATAATTTTAATTGATAATTTAAAATGTTATGATTATGGCATGAACATTATGACAATACCTCCATTCTATCAATAGCAATCTCTTCGACCAATAATGATCAGCCCTGATGAAGGCCTGAGCTTCGAGTCGAAACATCGGCGAATGTAAAAATAAATATTATTATTTATTTTTGCCATTTTAATTTTTGATTGATCACCACAACTATCCTTCTCTTCATTATTCACTACAGTCACCATCATCCCACAATTATAATAATAACACTTAAACGTAGCTTGATTTTCAACTTGAATTTTTTTAAATTACTTTACTGGTGTTATTTATTGCTTAACGCAATTATTTTTTAATATTATTTCATGTTTTGTTATTCTCTGATTATGCAGCTTTAATAAAAGGCCAATTAAGACGAAATTGAGCGAAATGCTGATTCTTAGTGACTAAACTCTTGAAGTCGCCAGTCCTCCATGTTTGGAAGACATTTCGGGGCAGTGCGTTCTTTTTGTGGGAACATTGTTTTTTTTGTTTTTTTTAAGAAATAGCTACAAGGAACACTACTTCGTCACTCCGATTATGATGGTTTGGATTTTTTATGATAGTTTCCTTCTGTTCACTTAGTGTTTCCATAATTATCGATTTTTTTTAACGAAGAAGATAAATTCAAAGGATTGAATCCAGACCTTGACAAAAATGATTTTAATTATTATTTCAAAATACAGTATTTTAAGTTACAAGTACTTGAAAATATTATTTAAGAAAAAAGAGGCGTTTTGTCTACTAAACATCTGTCGGTCCAGATTTACTTGTTAATTTAACAGAGTATGCTCTTCTACGTTTTCTTATGATTGGACTCTGGAGGTTTTAATAAGTTTTAAAAGGCTTATCAGTTTTATGGCCAAACATAATTGTATTATTAATTTAACTTCAAAAAATTCTAAGCTTGATATTCATAGAGGAGAATTCTCAGTACAATAATAAAAGGAATTTGAGTATTTGGTGTATTTGAAATACAAAAAAGAATACATTTTTTTTGTATATTGGTTTCTTAGAACGAAATAATTTTTTTTTTTGTATTTTAAAAAGAATATATGGTTACAATGTATTTTATACATGACTTCTTATTTATTTTGTATTTTAAATATGTCATTTCAAACTGCTACTAGTAGTCTATGTAAAAATTGAGTTATTTTATAATAGAGGAGAAAGCAATTATTTCTTTATGATTTATTAATATAATTTCATATTTTATTTCCCTCCGCTGATTTCCTATTTAGCTGACTACTTATAGCAGTTCCAGAATTCAAAATGCAACCTGTAGTGCAATGAGAATAAACATGTAAAAATGTTACATACGACCTGTTGCACTAACAGTAGCGAAATACTGTCCAGGTCTGGTTGACTCTAACTTCCCGATATTCAAATAAATCATAGTTCGCTTCAAACAAAAATCTAAGAAGAATCGCCATTTACCGTTATTGTTTTTTATTGTTATATTGTTTTCATACAGCTCGTCAGCCATATCTAGTGCATTAATTATCCAGAAAACGCCGCCTATCTTAGTCCCATTACTCTACTTCACTGTAACCTAGATCTATTGTTTTAGTTAAATTTTTAGAATAATCCGTTTTCCTGTTCTTGAATAGTACTAAAAATTTAAATATAATATATATTTAGATGTATAAACAAAATTCCACATTTCAAAAGTTAACTAAAATACGTCTTGTTCTTAGGTTTAAATAATAAACGTAATATTTTAGACAACATATTTTAGTAATTAAAACTTTTATCAGGTCTTACAAAACTACATTAATTGAGCTCTTTATTTTAAATTAAAATCTTTTTCATATGTGGCATTCCTTGAAAGATAAAATTAATTTTTTTTAAGCTCTTAATTTTTTTTTTTTGTATGGCCTTAAGATTTTACACATACTTTGTTATGCTTTTCATATAATTTTTATTCCATTAAATCGCATAATTCGTAAAAAAACATTATTTTATATAATATTGGTATCTTTAATTAAAATAATACTGCTAAAATGATTCAGAACTACATAAATATATCGATAAGACGTAAGTATCAATTATTTTACTGAATGGTGGGCTCACATTCTTAAATCAGATTTTCCCACCATTACTAAGGTCATGATTATTATAAAGGTTTTTTATTCACATCAATTTCAGAATTAGTCAGCAGGATTTCCTTACATCTTCGGAAATAATTTTGTTTCGTAAACCATCTTTTTGTTAGTCTCTTCATTATAAACACTTATATAAAAATAAATTATTAATTTTGCACAGGTATTCTGAAATCCCAATATTAATTCGAAATACAGCAATGATGAATAGACATGGTAAAAGTAATATTTTTTAATAACGTTACTTTATTTGATTACGGATCTTAATTAAATTAAAAATTATTTCTTTTTATAACATTTATCCATTTAATAACTTGATTCAATGGTGTATCAACATAACTAGAATTCGCAAAAAACATATAATTTAAAACATTGCATATTAAATTATTTATTGTAGTTATATGAAATTTGACGAAATTTGTGTCATTAGAATTAATTGAAAAATCAAAGGTTTTTATATATTAGTTTTATTGAAAATTTAAAACACCTCATTATTTAAAGAATAAATGGTTTTGTATTTATTCATATAATGTACGAACTCTACACAATCGTTTGCCCCTTTATAAACATAGTTGATTTTAAAACTTCATACCTAATGTATCAAAATAACCTGATGTGGGTGTAAAAAAAATAATGTATACTAAATTATTAATTGCAGTTTTATAACATTTGTTTCATTTATACTATTATGAAATGCGTGTTAGTACGTAAAATATTACATATTGATACTTCCGTCTCCCACTACTTATTGATTCCAATGAATTATTTCAATTTAATTTCTTTTAAACTCGTTGTTTAATCAAAGGTATTTTAAAAATCTACCTTTAAAAGTAGTGAGGTAAGATTCATTTCAATATTGTCAATAAAATTTTAAAGTTCAATTTAATTTATTTTAGGTACAAAATGTTTATAAGTTTTATATTTTTGCTATATTAAATTATTGGGTTATGTTCTGTAGTTCTGGAAAAAACTCTGAAACAAATTTAGTAGCAAACGATAGACGCCAAGACACGAAAGGCTCAGAAATAGTTCTTGTCCAACCAAAGCTTGCAGACGTGACTTACATACGTAGGTATCTTGTATGTTAGTCAGAATGAAATTTTAATCCTGAGAACTCAATAAAGAAAAGATCCATCCACTGGGCCTTAAAACCTTGAGTTATTTCAAACTTATTACTTCTTTAAAAGTTTACAAGATACGGTCAGAGCACATTAAACGTTTTTGTACAAAGCATATTAGATATAAATTCTAGTGCCACTTTCATACGCTGAGCAATGAAAGAACTCCAACAAGCCGCAAGCTAAAAGATGATTGTTTACTTTCTCGTTCAAATAGAGCTAAAAAAAACCTCTGAAAGTCTGCTTAACAGAATTTTTTCGATTAAAATCTATCTCTTGATTAAACTAATAATTACATTTTGTATATTAATAATATTTTCGTTATTATTGTTGCAGCTAGAAGCTCAGTTGGCCTATACTGATGCACAGGCGAGGATCAGCGAAAGACTGAGCAAGATACCCCTCGACAGGGTGAGGGACAGTCGACACATAAGGGCCATCAGGTTCCTGAAGAACATCGGCATAGCGGCCCTTCCGAGGGATCAACTGGACAGGGTATAGACATGTACATCAATAAAATTCAATAAAAATTAATAACAATTAATCTACGTGAATGGATAAAATATTTAAACTAAAATCAATTAAGAAAATAGGAAAAGTCGACTAGATGACTAAGCTAAGGCGTAGAAGTAGATACGCAAGTATTTTACCACGCTCTATGTTGCTATTATTGAAATTTTAGTTTATATTAAAAAATAATTATATATAGGAACACATTGCAGGATTTTATGATTCATTCAAGTGTCTCTTCCATTTTTACGTTAATATTTCATCACATTTCCCGCGACAAATATGAAGCATCCGAGACTTGAGAGTTCATCTCACTGCCTCAAATTAAAAAATATCTGATATATTCCATTGCTTTAACATATTTTCAAATATACCCAGAGTCATATAAATAGAAATAAATTAAAAAATAAAAAACTAAAAAAAATGTAGATATATAAATGTATTCTCATATATGTATTATATTGTTCATTTTACAATAAGCATGCTGATTATGTCAATTTTTATACATAATATAAACTCCCCAAATTGATTTGGGGGGTCCACCACCTCTAAACCAGAATGGCATAATCAATAAAAAAAAATTAACCTTATTTATATTTTATAAAAAATTTAATTGTACAATAGCAAATTTATATTTTTTCTAATTTAGTCTCAATTTTAAGATTAAGATGTTCTTTAACGTTATTTTCTTATTAATTTTCAGTATAATCGCCTCATCAATGACATGTTGGCAATTTACAACACTGCTACCACCTGCGATTACCACGATCCTTTGAAATGTGATTTGAGGCTGGAACCAGGTAATAATTATCGATCACAGTAATAACTCCTTATCAAATGTTATTACGTATTTAATTTTAGGCATTTCTAAAGTTCTTTTGATTTTTATAAATTGATACGTTTTGAAAACCCTATTGCTTATTTACAAGTAGTTTTTCTCAAATATATCCTTATTTAAAATCTTCGTCATTGTCTAAAAATAATTAAAGAAGTAAGTATATTTAATTAACAGTTATCAGAATAATGTCATTCATTATCGGAGCTACTACTTTATTCTAGTTTAAAATAACACTAGGTTATATAGACAGAAACATGAATACTACATTCTAATGTTTTCTATCAATCTATGATTAGAATGTGGAGGTGATGTTAATTTCATGAAACCATTTTCTGATTTTTGTTTATTAAAATTACTTTCATTCCTTAAATACAAAAATCTTTCAAAATCTTTAGTAAAAATGTGAACTTTGTTAATTGTTGAGTAAATTATTATTTTAATGATTTGATGATTAATATTGATTACTTGCTTAGGTATTTGGTTTATTTATATTTTGTCTTTGGATTATTATCTTAAATCTTCCATTTTATATTTTATTAAGAAAGTTATTGCTGAAAAAATACAGCAAAAATGGGAAAGGATGATTCGCACTCATAAAATAATTTAGAAATTATGTGGCAAGGATTACATTAATGAGAAGCAAGTACTTGAAATATTTCAGATCATAAACTCAATCAGGATGAATTTAACAAAAATCCTCTCAGCATTGCTCTTAAAGAAAATCCAGCACCAGTTATACAACTAACTTGCATTAGGCATATATCATATAATTAAAGCTACATTTGACTTCTGGAAATACTAATTCTTATAGAATAAGCTGACTAATATATATTTTTCTACTATATTGGATCATTAGCGGATCCAAGATTTAATTTTGGGGAGGGGGACTTCAGCCGGAAAGCTTTTTTACATAAAAATAACCATAATTACTTTGGAAAAAAATAAAGAAACTAACTACCTATATGAAATGGTGTTTAAGTGATTCCTAAAGTCCTTTTAAATGTAATTATATGAACAATAATACTTTAAGAGGTAATATTTTAATATTTTTTTTCCATAAAATATATTTATATTTTACCATTTTTTTGGGATGGAGGGAGCTTCAGCCCCAAAGCCTCCCCTGTAGATCCGCCTGCATATTGGATTAAAATGTAAAAATATGATTGGAAATTATGATTGTTAATGTAAGTTAGCTAATTTCTTTTTAAATTTATCGATTATTTTTAAATTCAGTTTGCTTCAGTCATATAACTACTGGTCAAAATTATTAAAAAAAAGTTATTTAAACAAAATATTAAAAAAAAATATCATACCCAAAAATAGTAAAATTGGCTGATCCTACATTTCGGAATGAGCACAGCAATATTTACTAATTGAGTTTTATTTTTTTTAGATTTGGCATCTATAATGGCCAAGAGTAGAAACTGGGATCAATTGCAACATTCTTGGACAGAATGGCACAGGAAAAGTGGTCAGAAAATACGAGACTTGTTTGATCAAATAGTAGATCTGAGTAATTATGCAGCTCGATTAAATAGTAAGTTATGATAATATTATTTTTTATTACTGTACCATTATATGAGCAATTCAGCACAGTTTATTGTTTAATTAAGTGGGAAAATAGTTAATTAATACATTTACTTGGCGTATTGTTCAGTAAATATTATTTATATTGTTTATGTGGCTATAAAAATTATATGATGCTCAAAAAATAAAATGTAATGAAGCAATACTTATGAGAGGCATTCAAAACAGTTTTACTAAAATTAATTTTTTATTTCAGATTTTACAGATTACACAGATTATCTTTTATTTCCTTATGAATCGCCTACTTTTATGGCTGAAATAAATGAAGCATGGGAAGACATCAAACCATTGTATCTAGAGCTACATGCTTATGTTAGGAGAAAACTAAGGGATCTTTACGGTCCTGAAAAATTAGGACGTCAAGCACCTCTTCCAGCTCACATACTAGGTAAAACTAGCACTTTATTAATTAAGTATCATTTAGTATACTTATTTCTTGTAAGTTCTAATTATAATTTGTAAATTTATAAAAATTGTATTAAAATCTCAAGAATGAAGATATTTTAGTATTAGTATTTTTAAAAAATTATTACTATAACCATAATACATGAAGGATTTTGGGTTCAGCTTTGTAAGAATTTAATATTTTCAGTCCTAATGGCTCATTGATCAATCAGAAATGTGCTCAGTTACTAATTGCTCAGTTCCATCACTGGCCTGGCACATAGTAATCCCTCTTGTCAAAGTTGGATTTGTTTGCATTCCTACCAACATTATAAATAAAGTAGATGAATAAAGAGGTGATTAACTGATATTGTTCTGTATCACCAGGTTTTTTCTCTTAACCGATTAATTAATTAAGAGTACTCACTTTATAAATGCTGTGTCCTCAAGGAAGGTCTTCCGACCACAGAGTCATTCCATAACTGATGTAACTGATTTAATACTTACCTATCTCAGCCAGACTGAAATTTAAAACTGAGTGAATAACAGCATCTTGCCTTACTCACTGTTGACATGTATAACGTTATGATCAATTTAGTATTTTTATGTAATAAAGTATGATTTAGAATTTTTGAAATTGCAATTTCTTAATTCCTAATCTAGATTAAAGGTTCTTGCTTGAATGACATTATTTGTATATTTATTAATGATAAAAAAATCTGATTTTCAGGAAATATGTGGGGTCAATCCTGGATTAACATATTGGATATCACTATCCCCTATCCTGGAAAATTTTTCCCTGATGTGTCACCTCATATGGTTCAGCAGGTAATTTTAATTTATAATAACATATACTTTTAAAATTAAATAATTGAAAAACTATTTGAATTGTTTTTAATAAAAAAAATCCTAACATATATTTAAAGTATATTTTTAAGCTTTTAATTTTAAATAAAGTTTATTTTTAATTACTTTTTTAGGGTTATACACCAGCAACTATGTTCAGAATTGCTGAAGACTTCTTCTTGTCTCTGAACCTTTCAGGAATGCCACCTGATGTTCGTGAAAATTCCCTCTTAGTTGAGCCACCTGGTATTCTAGTCATATGTCAGCCATCAGCTTGGGATTTCTGTAACAAACGAGATTATAGGTAAGTGGATTTCATTGGAAAATAACTGAAAAATGACATGAATGATACCTCCTAATCTTAAGATTAGTTGACTTCATGGAAATAGTGGAAGAATTAATCTTATCTATTGTAGTATGCAATTGATAAAACTATTCTCAATGCTTACTGAAGATGAATTATTATTGATCATACTGCAAATCAAGGACGAATCTGAGAATTTATTCTTCTCACTATTTTAGTTTAAAAAAATCAAATTAATAAAATGGAAGTATTAGATATTTAGCATTCACTATTGAAATGTTGTTTTCATAATAGAAGTTATTAATAATGTTTATAAAAAAAGGATAGATATTTATATCTGCGTAAACAAGAGCTTGAGCTAGAATTGTTCTCATATTCCATTTTCCTATAATTGTTCTTCCAGTCCTACATTTACAGATTATCAGAATCTCATCCATAAACACAATATGTAGTAGGAGGCTGAGACTGTCGCCTTGTTTAACCCATTTGTTCATATTAAAGCTGTTTGATTCCTTCCCATTGATCCTTACTATACCCTTATAATCTTTATATGTTGATTGTATTGCTTGGATAAGGTCTCCTAGGATGTTCTTATTTTTCAGTACATTCCATATTTCTTCCTTTGGCACCAAATCAAAAGCTGTTTTTATATCTAAAAAGGCCAAATACATATTTTGCTAAATATATTAGATCATATTATCCTCATAACACACTCAGCCACAAAATTACAGCAAGTGATTGTGGAATGGAAAGCTAAGCTTAAGAGAAAAGGTGTGATCTGAATGAATGAAGAAAAAGGTCGAGAAATCGAAGACATATCAATAAACTGTAGGGGTAATATTGGAGTTGGTAGAGGAATATTTATACCTAGGGACAGTTGTTGGTAGAAATGGAAAAATAGACCAAGAGATATCAAACAGGATCAAAAAAGCAAATGTCTTAGGAAAACGAGAGGTGGAAAATATAACTAAGATCAATATATACAACACACTCTACCTTCCATTCCTACTGTACGGTAGTGAGAGCTGGGTCCTTCTCGATAGGCACAAAAATAGAATTACCGCTGCCGAAATGAAATATCTGAGAAGAGTTGCTGGCCGAACTAGAGCAGATTGCATCCGAAACGAACGGTTTAGAAAAAAATGTTAAGGTGCCACCAATGCTGAAAACCGTGGAAAAGAAAACGCTCGAATGGTTCGGTCATGTTATGAGGATGGACAAGGACAGGGAACCCAGGAAATTTCTTGAGGCAAGACCCACAGAAAAAAGGCCAAGAGGACGTCCGAAGGAAAACTTGGATTGAAGAAATAACCAAGCTTGGACAGAGAAGAAACGAGTAGTTGGGTTCTATGGAGGATCTGGAGAGAGACCGTGATGACTGGCGTAAATGGGTCGAGGCTCTTCCATGCTCAAAGACACTACGGAGGAAGAAAAAGAAGAAGAAGAAAATATTTACATAAGTTTATGTAATTGATGAAAATTTAGAATAATAAACACAAAGAAATATCAACGAATGGACATGTGTCATTTTCACATTATCACTTGAGCTAGATCAGGAGACTCCAAACTCTTTTACCCACAGGCCATATTGGAACTTCCACACAGATCCTGTGAGTAATGGCTTGTGATGAAAAAAAATAATCTTGTTCTTTAAATGACAATTTAGCTCAGAAATAAGCTTTCTGAGAGGAAAAAACCCATGCAGTAAATGTTGTAGCAAGCTCGTGTTGGAGTAATTTGATAAATTGCATATTTTGAAATAGGTTTTAAAATTTTGTCATGTAATCAAAGAAACTTTAGCAGGACTTATTTTGGAGACCTAGAGTTAGATAATGAATCAGTTAGAGTTGTCATAAATGAAACTAAGAATAAATTCTTATTAATGTGCAACATTAAACTATTAAAATTATCAAATCAGTTATTAAGTGGATTTTCATTAATTAATGAATTTCTTAAAGTAAGAAAATATGTTAATATAAAGCTATATATATATATAATTAAATGTGATCATTAATTTCATCTCCCAGTGTTTTTTTGTCATATTGAGGTTTCCTATCGCAGGAAGGAAATCCCTCTGATCATTCTTGAAACATTGTCATCTTTGTCCAAATGTTGTACTTAATCCAACGTATCCCTCAACATTCTTAAGGAATTAGGTTGAAATAATTCTTTTGGTCAAGATTCCGTTCTCAAGTAATTATTTTGTTATTAGTTTAAATGCATGCTTATCATTGTCTATTATTTAGTTATGTGAAATATTTTGGCTTTTCAATGGGTTTAAGCATACTTATAACCCACCTTCATTTGATATTTGTATTGATATCACTTCAATGTGGGTAGCCTTAATTATATAATTGATTAAGAGGAAAAACCTGGAGGTTGACCTCCTTGCTCAACCATTGACCAAGAAACAGTACCTTCTCTACATAGAACTGAACCCAAGACCCTTCATGGGTTGTAGTGATTTAGGTTTTTTTTTCTCTTTCTATTCTTATCAAACATTTTTTTTTTTTTTTTCGAAATGCAATGGTTTTTGGGCTTTCTATCACAAAACTTTCATTGGAGTGCCACCGATGGATAGTTCCTTTGAGTATTCAGTCATGTCATATTTATATCTATTTTACATTAATTACAGGTATTAGTCTCAATTTATATTAATCTTACTTATTTTATGTTAAATACAGCTATAGATCTCAAGTTATAAAGTTTGAAAAACCTAAAATTCTTTTATTATATTGGCTTATTCTCTTTTTGCAATTCAATGTGTTTAGGAGTGCCCATCCCCCCTCAAGATAAATAGCGCAGGAATATCCTCCACCCTCCCAAAATATTTTATTGCTTTCTTGTTCTTAGAAACAGTGCAAGCTAAAGTAGAATTTAAAAAATCTTAGATTATATACAATTGCACTTACAGCTCTCTGTTACATGTTTTCTCCTTGTTCTCTGGTTTGAAAGTTTTCATTCCAAAAATTCATACCTCCATCGAAATGTACCCCCTTCGAAAATACAAAACTCCGCCAAAATGTGCCCCCCCAAAAATTTTGATGGCGTAACTTGCACCATGAAACCCCCTTCTGGGCACCCATGAGTGTATTCATTGCTTAATAGTCTTTAGTTTTAAAAACTTTAAAAGAAATTAGAATTAGTAATTTAAAATATGTTGTAACCTTTGCTTATTGCTTTATTAAAACTTCTATTCCTTTTAGGCTTGGGACGATTTTCGATCATATTTAAATTTTATTCATGCTTAGTTAAATATTTTTGAACTGTTTTCTTAATTTTGATGTCAAATTATTATCATAGATTATAAATTTTTCATCATAACAGATTGATGGTCTGAAAATTTATAGTTGCTTGGAATTATCTGTTTCCTTGTTTACTGATTTTGCTTTTATCAACTAGCTCAAAAAAAGGCTTCCTAGATGACTTGACAATATATCTTATTTTTTAATTATTATTATTTTAAAAAGGATTCTAATATATATATAATTCCAAGATAACTAATCATGTATTCAAAGTTTTAAATCATTAATCTTTGATTATTTCAATGATAATTTGACATCTTACAAATTCTATTCACATGCCTAGTAAACAACTATATCATTAATTTAGTTCTAAGGGTGAACTATTTTTTTTTTGTATTTATTTTTTATCTTTTTTTATATATTTTTTAAAGAAGTTACATTATCTTGTAATCTTGATTTTATTTTTATTTGTAATCTCATGGTTTCATATATTTAACTGTTTCAGGATAAAGATGTGTGCTAAAGTAACACAAAGTGATTTAGTTACTTTGCACCATGAAATGACACATATAGAATATTTTATGGAATATCGAAACTTACATAAAGCGTTCCGAGATGGAGCTAACCCCGGTAATTAATTCTATAAAAGTTTTAAATTAGTGACATTAAAAAAACTTAATTCTTAGTAATTAGTAATAATGAAATTATTTGTGTAAACAATGGTTATGAAATAAATCCATATTATAACTTGCCTTCATTTTTGTTTTAGGTTTTCACGAGGGAATAAGCGAAGCAATAGCTCTTTTTGTCGGCTCTCCTAAACATTTACAAACTTTGGGTCTCCTCTTCGGATCTGAGGATGATGTACCACATAATATTAATTTTCTTTATTCAATGGCTCTTCAAAAGCTACCGTTCTTAGCATTTAGCCTTGCACTAGAATCTTGGAGGTGGGATGTGTTTCGTGGTGACATTAATAAGGATAATTATAATTGTCGTTGGTGGGATTACAGGTACAGTTGACCTTTTTAAATAAATATAATTGTTTATACCACACTCAAACCTTAATTTGCTCTATAAGTCAAAGGTCATTTTAAGTCTCCTAAAATCTTCTGCCATTTCGATACTCCTATGTCATTCCAACACATCAGTCAAAAATCATGTAGTCACCTTTGACCAAACCCTTTCATGGAAACAACAGAACTCCCAAATTTCTCACCAAACCATATAGCCTGTGGTACAGACTCCTTTTTATCAAATTATTAACATCCGCCTCAAACTTCGTGAATAACTCCATCTAATCGTGACCTACAATTATTTTACTTACACAAATTCTCAGAATTTTTGTTTTCAATCTGGAGATTGGCAAACTTTGTCTATATAATTAGGTAATAAAAACTCGTAAATATCCGTTTGCTTTTCACTTGGATCGTAAGATAATTTGATCACAAAATCGAGAAAAAAGGTGGACTAAAAAATATTGGGCCATTTGACCTACATGATCTCATTATTTTAAAATGTTGGGGACCTAGGTCACACCAAACGGTCCAGTATTTTTCTAGGCCACATTTTTTCTCGATTTTGTGATTATATTATCTTACGATTCAAGTAGAAAGCAAATGAGTGTTTACGAGTTTTTAGTACCTAATTAAGTAGACAAAGTTTGCGGATCTGTAGATTGAAAACACCACAATTCTAAGAATTTTTGTAAATAAAATAATTGTAGGATATGATGAGATGAAGCTATTTCAAAGTTTCAGGCGGATGTTAATAATTTGATGAAAAGTGGTCTGTAACACGGACTAATATCAACCCACAAACAATTTAATCACTGATGCTATCTCCTCCCACTTAAAACTCGTCAACTTCTATTCCCATGTCTCATATTCCCTCACTTTGACTGTGATTGTTTGTTATTGGTATGCTGTACTCTTTGGTGAACTTGAAGCAAGACTAAACATTTTATGAACTGCTTGGTTAGATTTATTGCCGAGGTCACCAGAGATATGCATGTAACCTAGTATTACGTTGAGCTAAAGGTGCTCTGCCTATGTTACAAGTGTCAGTATTTTCTTGTGTTTTCTCTATACAAAGTTATCAGAACTCTGCATCCATCCTACATACTACAGAGCCTGCAATTTAACTTTTCCCTTGAATCCTATCTCACCCGATCTCATTCTTGTTACTTCTACCCTCCTCCCCACCAAACTACTGCGTTTAACAAAATCTTCTTAACTTGGGCTGCCTCCCTCTGGAACTCTATCCTGTTCTCATTCATCATGCTTCAACAGTTTCCTTGTTCAAATGTCTCCTTTTCACATACCTTTTCCTCACCCAGTGTAATTGATGTAATTTTATATGAAATCACCTTCTTTTATATTTCAAATCTTTTCCAAATTACTTTCTTATGCTTTATTCCCCATATTTATTATTATCTTAATTATTTTTGCATTATTATTATTATTTATTATCCACTATTTAATGATCTTTTCATTTTATTTTGAAGTGACGTTCTCCCATAATAATATAGAAATTTTCATTGTCATTTTTTTTTTTTGTTATTATTATTTCTTTTAAATTAATTTCAAGATTTTTTAAAATTAATTTTATTCTAGATTTATAATTTCTTTCTTGCTCAATTTCAATAACATCATTTGTACTTCTATTATATATAAAATAATAACAAAAACCTATATAAAGTTTAAGTGATTCTTGAAGCTCTATAAAAAAGAAAAAAATGTGATCACACAATTGTAATACTTTTAGAGATATTTAAAAAAAAAAAAAAATTTCATAAGAGATAGTTATATTTAGTAGCTGAAAAAACAGCATATTGTGGTTTTTAAGCTTAGATTACTTGTGGTAACAAATATGGACCATGAAATTCTTTTTTCCCATTTTGGGAGAGGCTTTAGTCCGAAACTTTGCAGATATTGATTGTAATTTTTTTAACTAAGGTTTCTTACTTTTTTTATTCTGAATTTTTCAAGAAATATTTAGAGATTCAGGAGTAATTTTATTAATTTTTTCAATCATTGGATAAAGATTCAAGAAAATTTATTTTCTGAAGTTTTCAAAATGTAGCATTCTACTTTTTCCCTATTGATTAAGAAAGGAACATTTGTCCATATTTTATTTTTGTGTAAATGAAAATTTATTTATTTTTTAAAGATAGTGATGGGGAATAAATTAATTAAATTGAGAACATAAATTCACATGAAGTTAATTGCAAATATTAGTGTATAAATTCAACAAAAATATCAAGATGATTTTTGTTTAAAAAAAATATCATCAATTACGTTTTTATTGATTTCAGAGAAAAGATTGGAGGTGTTAAGCCACCAGTTTTGAGATCAGAGAAGAATTTTGACCCTGGATCCAAATATCATGTTCCTGCAAACATCCCATATATCAAGTAAGTGCTTTTATTTAATTTTTAAGATCAATCTTGGGTGTTACTGACATCTCTGAATGATTTGCTCTGAAAAAATAAATTTGTTTTTGCTGTTTACACTAGTATGTTGAAGATATATGTCATGCATATTTGAAATGTTAAGGACATAAAAAAAAAATTGTTTAAAAATCTTGTTGTCCATCTGAAGAAGTTCTTTAAGTAAAAATTAACAGTTTGTCTAAAATCTGCAGTAACATAATAACAATTAAATGATTACCATTTCTCTAGTCTTGCTATCAAGAAATCTAAGTTGATATTCTGAGATAATTTGTTCTTAGTCATCTCATACTAATAATTTAATGTGTACTATTTTTTCTCACACTTTGTGGATTTTTTTACACACTAAATTTTATAGGAATGAAAGTACTAACCTCAAGAACTCTTTTTGAGAGCTTTTATGTCAATCCAATATCGATTTGATGAGCATTCATTAGAAGCAAATATTTTAATAATTTTGTTGTATGCTGTTGGTGCATTATTTTAATTACACTAACCGTTGGCTATTGATGTACGATCTAAAACATAGCTAATTAGAAAATCATATTAAATGTTGATCAGAGTTGCCGTATCTAATTTTAGAAAAGTAGTGCCCTCTTCCAGTCTCCACTGGCTTCTAATACTAGTGATGCAGCTGGAAAAGTGGCACTGGGATCTTCCGGAGTCTTGCTTTGCCTTCCGCATGTGGGGGAAAAAGCCTGGCTCGGAGATTCTTGGGTGAATGTATATATTGTATATAGTTATGATTGTGTTTAGAAGTTTTTATTTTATTTTATTTGTTTATTTTTATTTTTTATTTTTATTTACCTTCTTCATCAGTATTATTTATTTACTTCTTATATTTATATTTATTTCTTTATTATTTGTATATATTGTATGAATGAGAACTTTTAGCCCTAATGCTTATAGCCCTCCAGCAGTGGCTGATTGTATTATTATTCAATAAATAGATTTGAAAAAAAAAATTTTTAGAAAAGATGAGGAGATCCTTAATAATGCAATGAACTATTGGTTGAGATCAGGATCAAAAGACTATTGAATTTATATAAGTGTTTATGTTTTGTAAAAAAAACAACTATTTCTATTTCTGAAAAAAACACTATTTCTAAGAAATTTTAAATTGAAATCTGAAACCTTCCTGAATGATGATTTGTATGCACATTTAAGTTTATTTTCTTATTAACTATTATCTCAAAGGTTTTTCTGAATAGAATAGGACAAATGTTACTTTGACTAACATTTTACTTAATATGAGAAACACAATAAGTCTCTTCTTCTCTCTGCTTCAGAGCTTGCAAACATTCATTTGAAACAAACCAATTTTTTTTTTTCAAATTTGTTTATTATTAAAATAATATTGCTTTGTATTAAGCTTGAGTTTATGCTGGAATATTGGAGTTTCTTAATTCATCACTAAAATTATATTAGATTGTTTTTATGTGTTTTGATGTCTTTGGAATCTATTTCTATACTTTCCTGGAGAGTCTAAGTAACTTTGATTTGTTTAGTATTATCCTTTTCACATTTTTCAGTGAACTTATGGTTTTAGCTTTTATTTTCAAAGTTTTAAAATGCCAGTGATTGGATATTAGATGAAGATATTCAATATTCTGGGTAATTATGGTAGTTTATTTTGAAATATAGATGAGATATTTAATTACTTTCACTTATTTCATATTTGAATATTGTAAGGTATTGTAAAAATCAGAGATCCTCACAGATATTTTGGTCCTTTTGATCCAAATATTTGATACCTCTTACCATTTTTAATAATTATTGAAAATATAATTTTGAAGCACTTTAATGCTTAAAAGTCAAACAACCTAAACTGAATTCTAAAATAATTTGTAAAGCAAATCAAAAAAAAAAAAAAAAAAAAAAATATGAACAAATTTAAAACTTTATTTTATTAAATAAAAAATTGTAAATATTGAAATTTGAGCATGACAATTTAAAGTTATCTATTTTGTGTTCATATTTTTAAAAATTAAAACACAGTCATTAATTAATAAAATATATAAAATGAAATAATTTAAAAATTAATCTTGACATCTCTTACTTAATACAGATGTATTTTGCAGGGCTCATATAGAGTCCAGGATCCTATGGCTACCCATTATTGAATAAGTGTCCCTTCTAAGTTTTAGTAGGAAGTCTAGGAGATGTGAAATGGAAAAATAGTAGATTAATTCATTGGTCATTTGAATTAGGAGAGAAGGACCATTTGCTGAACATGATCCTCTCACCTCTTACCAAAAACAATAAAATGAACCAATTTGTTAAAATTATTTTCATAATCATTATAAGAAATAAACTTATTAGACTCTAAAGTTTGATGCATACATCTTTGTTATTTCCAACACTTCTATTTTGACCCAGCTCTGACCAAAACCAAATATAATCAATCAGCTTTAGCACATTATTCATATTCAATTATCTTCAATTTACCCATGGGTTTAGCAATATCATTGTTTTCGCTAAATATATTTTATTGGAGAGGAAGGGGGAGGCATAGCTGACATTTGTTACCACCCGATTATTCAAATTTAAAACAACATTTAGATAATGCTACTCAAAGTTTAATAATTTAATTTCAATTAAAGCTTAATACTATTTATTATTATTTAGATATCTGATTGGCAAATTAATTGCAAGTTAGAATTTTTGTTTAAAAGAATAAAAAGATTTGGAATGCCTGGGAGATGCTATGATTCACCGTTCGTCCACTTAATCATTTTATATGTTCAAATCAATCATATAGATTTTTTTCTTCAATTAATTTTACTGTAAGGATAACATGCAAAGTGACTGCAGGTTATTTTTAAATTAATTATCTTATAATTTTTTAAATATCTCCTTCAAATGATATTTTGTTCAGCAAAGCATCTAAAATATTTCATTCTTTAAATATTTTTTGAAGTATTTTGTAAATTTCGTGTTTTTTAATATCATTGTTGGATTTTGAACAACTATTGTAAACAAAACCACATCATTTTATAAAGTGGAATTAATTTTAATTGATTACATCTACTTACAAGGATTGGTTACGGATGTGGGGACACCGATTTCAATGAAACTTTTTTTGGTGATACTAGGTTGAAAAATATTTGACCAATGTCTGAGGGTTCTTGCCAATGTCCCCTAGGAGCCGAGGAAAAAAAATGATAAAATTTTATTATTCTGACTTTGCTCTCAATGAATTTCTGAGTTATTATATATCAATCAATTTGTTTTGTCTATGTAAAATAAGAAAAAAATATTGATAATTGTGTTAAATGAATTCTGATGTATAATAAATTACAAAAACCCAAAGACTGTTTCAGTAAATTAGTACAAGTAAAGTTTTGTAATGAAAAAACGATTCAGATTCATTTTTAGCGTCCAGTATAACTCTTAAATACGGGTTTGTTATGAAATCAAAAAACATAAATTTTTGGGCTTAATTTTCCGTAAGAATATTTTTTCTTGCCGTTCACTAAAATATTCATAATTCCTCAGGAATTTCCTCTAATTCAACGTTATTACAACCACTGGAAAGCTAAATTATTGCTCTTCAAAACAATATCAATAACTTTCAGATTTTATCGCCTCATAAGGAATAAATAAAGAAAACTTCCCAAACGTTTTTATTTTTTATTTCGAAACCTAATTTATTTACGTGTGTTATCCTAAAAAAAATCTTATGTGTATAATATACATAATACATGCTTTCATAATTTATTTAGGGGCGTCTGGTTTGTGCCATTTCGCTTGTACTATAGGGCTCTAAATACATTCTAATTTTCGTATGAATAAGTGGAGCTATGTCGAAGTTATCGCAACTTTTGTGATTTTCGGGTTGAAATCGAAATTTGGAGGAAAACATTTTTATTTTTCGAATGGCATGAAACTTCATGTTTAAGGGTTTTTCGAGATGCGAATTACAAATCTCAAATTTGTTTCACCTTAAAAAAATATTTGAACCAACTTTATTCCTTAGGTCAGTACTAATTGTTTTAATATTGTCCTCATTCTATAGATGTGTGCTAAAAATATATTTTTTTCTAAACCGGACTGTTATCGGAAGTAAGATTATACTACAAGATCTAGTATTGAGATTCGATTCGCAAATAAGGAGAAAGCATGTATTATGCATATTATACACATGTGGTTTTTTTGGGGGATAACGCACGTAAATAAATTAGGCTTCGAAATAAAAATAAAAACATTTGGAGAGTTTTTCTTTATTTAGTCCTTATAAAGCCGTAAAATCTGAAAGTTATTGATATGGTTTTGAAGAGCAATAATTTAACTTTCCAACGGTTGTAGTAACGTTGAATTAGGAGAAATTTTTGAGGAGTTATGAATATTTTAATAAACGATACGAAAAAAAAATCATTCTAGAAATATAGGCCCAAAAATTTATATTTTTTGATTTTGAAACAAACTCGTATTTAAGATTTAAAGTATTTAAGAGTGGACGCTAACGAATCTGAATCTTTTTTCTTAAAGTTTTTGGATTTTTGTAATTTTTGTATATTAGAATTTATTTAACATTATTAGCAATATTATATTCTTATTTTAGATAAAAAAAATCTATTGATATATAATAACATAGAAATAAGTGGAGTCAGAAGACATTAATTTAAAAAAATAATACAATTTTATAAAAAAAAATTTCTCGGTTCCTAGTATATTATAATTTTTTTTCTTGGCTACTAGGGTACATTAGCAAGAACCCTCGGACATGGGTAAAATCATTTTCAACCTAGTATCGGTCGTAAGTGTCATGGCCGAAACTGAGGTTCTATATTCGTATCGTTCCGTCTTTGCTAGTTTGTTATGTGCTTATTATCTCAAATCCTGTTCTCAGACTTTGTAAACAGTGAGTTTATAAACAATTTAACATTTTTAAATTACAATCAGTGAGGTGAGTGACTTTTATTAACAATTAGCAACATTAAATTGGTACTCGATTGCTAGAGACAG